AAACTTGAGATAGTTTTTTTTGGCATAATGTTAAGTTTAAAATATGATATGGAGAGATTAGATTATTCTATAAATATCATTATTAATTAAATAAAAAACCTGCTTTCTAAAAGATTATAAAATACTCATAACATAAGTACTATACTTAGTGTACTTTAAGAAGAGAGCCAAGGAAAAAAAAAACAAAGAAAGAAAGAAAGAAAGAAAAAGAGAGAGAAAATCACCTTTGAAATGTACAAAAAAAAAAAAAAAATGATAAGAATACTTAAACTTTATTATACCTAAATTTGGATTGGACCGGACAGCCCAACAAATTAAAAAAAAAAAAATTGGCCAAGCCTATGTTTAATTTAGACCTATAGAGTTAGATAGTTGAAATTGAATCTCATTTAAAAGACTTAAGTCTTGTGACAAGTAATCCCTTATCAACCTTATATATATGCTAATTATCTTTGGTTCAACTATTCAATATGGGATACGTGCTTAAACACTCTTTGTCACTTATAGCTCATCTTTTTAGGGTCCGTAAAGTAATTTAAGCTTCTAGGATCTTTATTAGGTTATTGAGCCTTTTTGATGCTCTAATATTATATAAGGTTAGATAGTTGAGATTGGATCTATTAAAACATATATTTCATATTAAATAATTAAATTAAAAATAATTAATATATAATATAAAATTGAGAAGGTATCGTTCATTGTAAAACTTAAGTTATCTGAATGAAATTTAATTTTAATTATTTAATTTTATAGTATCTTTTATATGTAAATCGGAGCATTCATGGATGTGATGGGTCTAAAGCCTTTTTCGAGGTAGGGTCAGTCTTTTTGGGGAATAGTTGGTCCTTAAGAATTTTCGGTCCCAATTGAGCCCACTAAATTTGACCATATGCACTTTTTCGGCTCCTTTTATTTTATTTGTTTTCGGGAAGAGAAAAAGGCCAAAAATAAAAAATAAAAAATCAAATTAAAAGGCCAAAAACAGTAGTATCAAATTCTTAGTAGTTAATTAACTAGCAGACAAGAGAAGCATCTACAAAAAGAAAGAAAATATTATGATGTCTTATTGCAACAAGATTGTATTGCTACCTACCTAATAAATAAATACTATAAAGCAAAAAAACAAAACCTAGTACCAAATGGGCTCTAAAATTACTATTTAATTAGTTTTCGTTTATTTGAGTACACAGTTGAAAAATATTTATATAAAAGAAGCATATATTAAAACTTTTTTGAGATTAATAAATATTTAGTGTGCTAGTTTTTTTCATTTTTATTTTTTCATTTGAGTATGTTAGTGGAGTTAGTTGAAAAAGCTTCAATACTCTTTAACAAATATCCTTATTAATTATAATTTAATGTACCTTTAAAAGAAAGATTAACAATACATTTGATTTCTTAAAAACTTAATTGTTTATTTTTTAGAAAAATTAATTTTCTATCGATCCAAAATAGGGAGTGTTCGATCAATGTGGCAAAACGAAGAGCATAAGAATAATGGATACTATATAAAGAAAACCACACTTAAAGATTAACAACACATTTGCATTATCCCAAATTTACATTTTTTATTTGAAGGTTGAAGAAGCAAAATACAAGAAGGGTCACATTATTATTTTGATAAAACCATATATGGATTCATCGAAACACATATCATCAGATTTGATGATAGGCAGACCCTTAGGCTTACTCTACCCAATGAGACCACAACAAAAAAAGACAGCCAAGAACCAAGACAAGAGACATCGGCAGCTAGCCTGATTCCCATCATTATCTAACTCTCAAATAGTTTTTGAGCATTCATAGGGATGAACTTAAAGAGCTAACTTTCTTGAACTGAACTTTAAAAGGCTGTAATGCATCACTAAGAGACAGAGTTCTGACTCCATTCTTATGAATATAGATGCCAATATCCCTGCATAAAGCTCCACAATCACAAACTGTAGGACAGAAAACTAGCTTGTAATCGTCATCAGCCTTCTCAATCTTGAACCAGTTGGTTAACGTATCAATACCAGGATTTCCTTCAACCCCACCAGTTGTCACGAACCATTGTATATTCGAGTTGGTAGATTTCTGAATCCTCCAAACTGTTGATTGAACACAGATTGAAAAAGCAGAAAACTTGATGTTTAGATCAGTGGAGACACGGATGACTCCTTTCTTGGGGTTCACAGGTGTGAATGTAAGTGGAAGACCGTTGGATACCTCTGAAGGGTCTTGGACAACATCAAGCGGGCAGATTTGGTCTCCAGTGCTGGCCATTTTAAGCCCACCTCCTCTCCCACGGAATACTGGCAGGATGTAGTAGTCTGTGCCTGCTCTGAGTTTCTCGCCATCCATGTCAAGCACTGCTTCAGTCGCATCTAGCTCATCGATAGCTGCTGCTATTGATGGCTTTGTGAAGGCTAAGCTAAAGAGAAGGAAGAAGGACAATACTAACAAAGTAGACTTCATATTGATGGATTTCTTTTTCTTAATCTGATGCAAAAATGAATGGAGAGAAGCTTGAATTTATAGAGTTAGAATTGGGATGGCCGACAATAAAGAAAGAGAGAAATTGAAAAAAATTCTTAATCCTAATTATCATAATTCCTCAATTCTTCAATAAGTTAGCCTTTTTTCTTTTTTCTTTTTCTTTTTTTTTTAATTTCATGACCACGTGGCGTTCTTCTTGATGTTTGAGCTTCTTATCTGCTACTATAGAGTGGTACTATTTTTTTTGTGATCCTTATCTTCTTAATTATTAAGCATAGATCATCTCCTTGTGTTAGATCTCCCTTCCTTGTGTTACATCTCCCTTGATTTGCGGAATTTATGTTTTTGAGTGCGAACCACATGGCTTATACGACAATTGATAATCAAGTGCATGCTTTAAGAGACCATGGCTTTATCATTTAGGTTTTTTTTTTTTTTTTAAATACTTAAGCATATCCTATAGCATTTAACATTAGTCAATTAATTTTAGGATTACGTGGTACCTAAATTTAAATCTTATGATCGATCGATATGGGACAAGTTATTTAACAAGTCTCTCACTGGTACGATATTAAATTAGATAGTTAAAATTAATTTTTTTTTTTTTTTGATAAATCATAAAACTTGTGGTGGAAAGATTACTCTTAACTTTATATATTATTTATTTATTTATTTATTTAATATGAGATAAGTTATTTAAAAAGTATATAGTTTGGCCATATCAGATAATTAATTTAGTCTCTTAGCAAGTTGAATTCTTTTCAATTGATTAAAAATTTATATAAATATATAAAAGATCAAAAGAAAAATTAATTTTTACTAACCTGAAAAATTAAAAAAAAAAAACAAAGAAACTTGAAAATCTTAGAAAAATACATAAAAACAATAAAAATTCTAAAAAATAAAGAAAGTTTTGACCGAAGATAAATCCCATCCGAATAGCACAAAGACCATTCCCAGTGTAACAAAAGTGCGCCCATTTATATACAACTGACTATTTTTATTGTAAAATGAGAAGGGAGGTTACAAGTTGACAGATAAAAAGACATGGAAAAAAAAAAACATAAAGAAGGAAGGTTACAAGTTGCCAGATAAAGATAAGAATAGTAGATCTGCACTTAGAATGTGCATATATTTTAAGCACAATATATATATATATATATATATATATATAAGTTGCCAATAAAGATAAGAATAGTAAAGAATAGTAGATGTACATTTAGAATGTGCATATATTTTATTTAGATAAGAATAGTAGATGTGTATATATATTTTAAGCACCCCATATTATTATTTTTTTATTTTCAAGGTATATAAAAATTCAAAAACTTAGATTTTTCGTTATTATGTCAGACATAGACATATAATACAGATGTAATTATTCAAATAATTTTTATGTAAAAAAAATTCAAATTTGAAATTATTTATTTAAATTATTAGAAATTTTATTTTATTTTTTCTCAAGTTAACATTCTTGAGCAAGCACAAAATGTTTTAACATGAATAACATTACTTGTATCATTTCGTCTGCCCTGATCCTTCTCATTACCTCTTCGTTTCTTTTCTATGATATTGCTCGGAACCTGTTGACAAATAACTAAAAGCAGGCAAAATGGGTTCACGGGGTGACCAACTGTTTGTAACCCATTAACAAATGAGTAAATTATTCTTTAGTCCTTGCTCTTTCAACATGAATATAACTTAGCCTTTCGTGTTTCAGAATCCATAACTTGATCCCATGACTCTTGTTGACCGTTGTCTAAGTGCTGGGAAAACCATTATCTTCTAGCTAGTCTGTAATACAGTGAAAGAGAATGTTTGATTAGGGGCAAATATAAATAAAGAGGATGGCGGAGGATGATTTTCATGCTCATATTTGAGATCAGAGGAGGATAAAACATATTTAAGGGACATAACAAAGCTATTTTTCAACCTTTTATAAGTACCATTGTTGGAATGAACATGCCTAACTCTATGGTTAGAGAACCCACGAACAAGAAAAAAAAATCTCAAAAAAACCAAATTAGATTAAAAAATAAAAGATATTAGGCGTCACATTCTAAATAGGTAAAACCGAAGTGATAAGTTTATGTGAATACCACAAAACAATTAGTCCTTGATAAGTTTAGAAAGTTATTGAAGAACTAAGAAGAATAAATCTCACAATAATTTAATTGATAAATATTGATTGAAAATTTCAACTTCTTTAGCTAAATAAGCTGCTAGAATTAAAAAAAAAAAAAGTAGAATCAAAGCTATATAGGATCTAGACCAGAATATTGGATTACTACAAAGTCTTGAATAAGTCTTGTATTTGCTTTCTAATTCGTTATCTTGAAAATATCAGGAGATGCATGTTCTAAGCTTTTTCTTTACGCAATAGCAGCAGCAGAAATTTCTCACGAAATGAGATTCGATGTGCAAATCTTAATCTTGGCGTTTGTGCGAACAAGTAAAAGATCTTTCCTGGGAAATACATTGTAGTTTCTGAAGCTGAGAATTTTAATCACCAATCTAAGCTGATGGAAAAAGTTCGAAGACGTCAGCAAAAGGAAAACGAGAAGGAGCCACAGACATGGGGTTTGGAGCATCTTCAGCGCTTCTCAGTTTCTGGTTCTGCGGAGTTTGATGACAATACTTCCCTTCAGATTGCACAATCTTCTTCCTGCTCTGGCTCTTCGTCACAAGTAATATTAATATTAATAATAAAAATAAAAATGAAAAATACTCCATGTATAATTCACTACTGTAGTGGCTAGCTAGGAAGCATGTACGGATATTCAAAAATACTCTATATTAATGTCGGCTAAATGTTGAATACGGATACGTATCGGATCTGACTTAATACATATCGGACATTTGATGATACAAGGGGAAAAAAATTAAATTGGATACGTGAAGGATACAACCAGAATGCATCACAGAAACATTCAAGATACTTAAGAAACACAACTATGATATCTACGGATTAAAATTTTAAATTCTTTTAATAAAGTTTAGTTCAAATATTATTTTGATTTTTATGACTTAAAATACTTAAACATTTAAGTAAATATAACCTAACTTCAATATATTAAAATTTGTTTTCAATAAAAATAGATGATCATAAAAATATGAGAAATATTTTGAATAAAATTATTAAAAAGTTTCAATTCCGTTTTTTTTTTTGTATTTATAGTTAAAAAATATGATATTTTTATTTCTCAATTTTAAAATGATCTAACTTGTCACAAATGAAAAATTAAAAGGGAAGTACATAATAATAATTAAATTAAAGAGAAGAAAAAAGAAATTATCACCAATCTTTTCACAAATGTCATAATAATTATCAAGATAATTTGATTTCTAAATATGCAAATCTAGTTTAACAATACGATCCACACTATCTTGTTGATATAATTTATATTATTTTCTAATACACCCCCTCAAGTGAAAGCTCGCAATTTACACGGATCCATACTATCTTGTGCTTAATTAATTAGAAGAGAAAATGAAGGTGATAAGATTCGAACTCTATCATAACAAAAGATCATTTCACTCAAAAGCTTAAGCTTTTAGGTGAGGCTCCACAATATGATTTATATTGTTTTCTAACAACAAAAAATGATAATAGGCTCTAAGTACTTAGAAAAGGTTTTTTTCTTGTCTTTTTGTTTTTTTATTTTTAATGTGTGATGCTAGAGATATTTAACAATACAATTAGACTAGACTAAAGAACTTGTAGCTCTGAAGTAGTGATCTCTTGTAATGACAATATCCTACATATCAAGCTTTTATCTTAGTTTGTTGTAATCAATACTCTAATTTATCTCCTATATTTTCGGTAGTTCCTCTATATAAAGCAAAGCAGGTCACATCAATAAAATACAAGTTCTTACTTCAACTTCTTATACACATAATAAATAAAATCCAACAGGAGAACCAGAGAAGAATCTATGGTGAAGCTCCATGCGTGCGTTTTCGTTTGTTCCATTGCTTAACTAACCAGACCCACACCCACACGATCAGACTTCCCCTTCACCTCCCCTCTCTTCCTCAATAAATAGTTCAAAAAACCTGTTGAAGTAAACACAGTGACCTATGTTTTTGTTACAACCTTAAAGCAAAAGCGACATTTCAAACACTCATCTTCCTTAGTACATACTTGCCTTCCTTAATATATAAATATATATAGTGTATATTCATACTGTCCTACATATTTACACATATTTACAAGTTGCTCGACGGCAATGCCAACGCCCATAGAGTAGCTAGGGAATTGTTGACAGACGAGGAGGCGCATGCTTTAGGTGAAGCAGTTGCGGTGGCGCGTCAAAGAAGCCACTCCCAGACGACCTCTATCCATGCCGTCTCCGCCCTACTAGCTCTCCCGGCCTCAACTCTGAGAGACGCCTGCTCACGTGCCACCACTAGTGCATACTCCTCAGGCCGTCAGTTTCGTCCCCTCCACCTCTGTCTTGCGAACTCTCTAGACGAGTTGCCGACTTCTAAGGCTCTCGATGAGGACCCACCAGTATCGAATTCCCTGATGGTAGCGATCAAACGGTCACAGGCGAATCAACGGAGACGCCTTGATAATTTCCATCTGCACCATTTATACTATAACCAGCAAGCGGCGTCGGTTTTGAAAGTGGAATGAAAATGTTCATTTTATTGATTCTGGACAATCCGATTGTGAGTCGGGTTGTTTGGGAAGCCGGGATTAGGAGTTGTGATTTAAAGATAGCAAAGTTTGAAATTCTCACGGGTCGGGTGCGCCCTAGCATTTCTAAGTACTACCAGACTCGAATAATAGGGGTCCATTTAGTGGTGGGCTGGATGATGATGATGATGGTGACGACGATGTTTCTAGAAGAATGGGTGAGGCTTCAGTGAAGAGAGATGGGAAAGGGAGGAACTTATTCCTTGTTGGGGCTTATGCAAGCAATGCTATAAAGGGTTTTGTTAATAGCGTAAATAAAGAAAACAATGGAGGTGTTTTGCCTAGTGAAATTAGAGGGGTGATTGTAATGGGCATTGAAGATGAGGTTATTCAGTTTGTTCGTCAAGGAGGGGGCGACAGAGAGAAGTGTTAACGGTTTAGCATTATCACCGTGATTAGCTTAGAAAGCCTTATCATTATCTATATTCAGCTGTACACTTATCCATGTATCCCTTTAGTAGTTATCTCCTATAACCACCAACTCGTACTCATGATATATATATATAAACTCCGTAACTCTTACGATATACATAATAAAAAGAAAAACCTTTACAATCTCCTTGAGTTCTTACATGGTATCGAGCCTCTTATTTAGTATCGAGTATCCAAGTATCGTATTTGAGTTTCACCATGTCGACAAATCCAACAAACAATAACTCTCAAATTACCCCGGCATCACCAAATCTAAACAAGCACTCAAACCTCCACTCATCATACCTTTTTCGTTAAACTCTCATCTAGAAATTACCTAGCCCGGAAGGCACAATTTCTTCCTCTCCTAAACTATCAACATCTCACGGGTTACATTGATGGTACCCTAACCGCTCCTCCAAAAACTATAACCTCCCCCACCGATGAAACTCGGATACTCGTCAAATCCTACATATGAAGCATGGTTTCAAAAGGATCAACTTCTCTTATCATGGATACTCTCTTCATTATCCGAGGAGGTTTTTCCATATGTTATTGGCCTACAATCTTGTTATCAAGCGTGAAATGCATTAGCAAATGCATTTGGTTTTGTATCTCGAACCGAGCAGTTGCAACTCAACATTGAATTGCAAGAGCTAAAGAAAAATGACTTGACTATATCTCAATATCTTCACAAAGCGAAAGCCCTTGCCGATGAACTTGCCGCTGCCGGAAGGACCGTGTCTGCTGCCGAGTTCAATGCCATAATATATGGTAATATTGACGGTGACTTTCATGCAATCATTACCGCCCTCAACCTTCGACTCGAACCTCGTTTCCTTCCATGAATTGCATGGTTAGCCGCTTGCTCACGAAATTCTCCTAAACAAGCACTAAAGAAGGACCCTTAGCTAACATTGCCTATAAGCCACCCTTTCGACCATACAAACCTTCCGTTCCCCACCACCAATCAGCCTTCTCAAATACAAATACCCATCGCAATACTCGTCTCCATCAATTATGGAAATCGTAGAAACAAAGGTCCTTGCCAAATCTGTGGTTTTCATAACCGCACAACTGATAGGTGTCGCCAACGTTATGCTCCTCGACAGATTCCAAATGCACAGAGCTAATTTAGCATGGACCGGAAACACCTCTCATCGCAAGCCTTCTACTTCCACTCTTATGCATTCGCAAGCAAGCATTCCAAGCACCAAGATCCACTCTTACCTTGGTACCCCGATACTGGAGCTACCCACCATATCACACCAGATTTGTCCAACCCGAGCCATGCCAATGACTATCCAGGAAGTGACCAAATCCGTGTGGGTAATGGACAAGGTTTGCACATAACTCACTTTGGTCGTACCGTCTATTCTACACCAACAAAATTTTTTTTCTCAATGATGTCTTGTTAGTTCCAAAAATCACTAAAAATCTTCTTTTCGTCCAAAAATTTATTGCCGACAATTCTTGCTATTTTGAATTTTGGCCATCTTATTTCTTGATTAAGGATCGAGTGACCAAGGAAATCCCGCCGCAAGGCCCAAGTAGCAATGGACTATATGTGTTTCCACCGTTATCGAAACAAGCATTGGTTGGTGAAAAGGTCTCCTTTGGTGATTGGCATGCTCGTCTTGGCCATCCTCAACATCGAACGAGTGTCTAGAGTACTTCATACGAATAATCTTCCTTACTCTTCAAAATCACCCGGTACGTGTCTTTCATGTCCTTTAGGAAAAATGTCTAGATTATCTTTAGCTCCTATTGATCACAAAAGTAAGGTGCCATTTGAGGTTGTCCACTCGCATGTTTGGGGTCCCGCACCCGAATTATCTCCATCTCGGTCATAGATATTTTGTTTTGTTTATTGATGATTTTACCGTGTATACCCGGATTTATTCTCTAAAAAATAAGAGTGATGTTCCTACCACTTTTCTTCATTTTCAATCCATGGTCCAATTCAATGCAAAAATAAAAATTTTTCATTCAGATTTTGGAAGGGAATATCAAAAATTACGTCATCATTTCAAAGACAAAGGAATCATTCATAAATTGGCTTGCCCATATACTCATGAACGTAACTGGGTTGCTGAACGTAAAATTCAACACATAGTTGATACCGGTTTGACATTATTAGCTCATGCAAATGTTCCCTTAAAATATTGGACATTTGCCTTTAATACTAGTGTTACACTTATCAACTCTTTACCCTCTCGTTTCCCTTCACCATTATTGTCCTTTTCAATTATTATTTCAACAAAAACCAAGTTATACTAATTTTAAAATATTTGGGTGTGCTATATTTCCACTTTTAAGGCCTTACAATTGTCATAAATTTGCATATCGCAATAAAATATGTGTATATCTAGGACATGCCTCATCTCATACTGGACACCGTTGTTTAGACATCGAGAGTGGTCGTATTTATATTGCTCGCCATGCAAAATTTGTTGAAACAACGTTTCCTTTTCAAAATCCATCACGGCATTCACCTTCGCAGACACTCCCGTCAACAACCCATGGCTACATGTGACCACTACAGATCCCTTCTATCTCGGTGCCACCAGCAGTATGGTCTCTAACTCTTCTCACAATTTGTTACTTACTCCATCCTTATCTTCTTCTCAAGATCAAACACACCGACCACATCCCATCTCAATCTTATCCGTGTCATCATCCCATACAAACACCACAATATCATCTCATCCTAGCTCCCAAAAGTCTCTGTCCTTGTCTACAACTATCTCCTCACCAAGAGAGATTATAGTTGCTGCCGATAATACCACACATAAATCTCCCGTCGTTATTTCTTCTCCCCAACGTCCAAACCCGACTCCACAACGAACTCATCCCATGACCCTACGCCGTAATCCAAAACCAAAAAACATGCCTATTCTATAACCAAATATTCATCCAAACCCAACTTTCTTGATATTGAACCATTAAATTTTACCCAAGCCAAACCTTACAAAGAATGGCAGATCAGCTATGACAGATGAGATACGTGCTCTCCTCACCAATAATACATGGACTTTGGTTCCAAGACCTCCGGATAGGAATGTGGTAGGTAACAAATGGATATTTCGAATAAAACGAACTCGCCGATGGGAAGATTGACGAGTACAAGGCTCGTCTTGTTGCCAAAGGCTTCACCCAACAATCTGGAATTGACTTCCATGATACCTTTAGTCCCGTTGTTAAAGCTACCTCCATTCGCATTGTTCTTGCACTTGCTTCCATGAATGGATGGCCTATGAAACAATTGGATGTCTCCAATGCTTTCTTGCATGGCACCCTCGATGCTGAAATTTTCATGGAGCGACCACGGGGGTTTGTGGATACCGATAAACCTTCATTTGTTTACCGTTTGCACGAGTCATTGTATGGTCTCAAGCAGGCTCCCGCAGCATGGTTTCATCGTTTGAGTTCTTTCTTGCACAAAGTTGGCTCGATCGCTTCAAAGGCGAGATACTTCCTTATTTATTTTGAATACTTGGACCTCATAAGTTATTTTTGTTGTGCTATGTTGATGATATAATTATCACGAGTTCTTCCTCTAAACTTGTTGATCGGTTTCTCATCACTATGCAAAAGGAGTTCCCTATCCGTGACATGGGCCGCTTGCATTACTTCCTTGGCATTGCTGTCCATCATCTTCCTTCGAGCTTATTACTCACACAAGCAAAAGTATATTCGGGATCTCCTCCATCGTACCAACATGGATCGTGCAAAGGCTTGTCTAACTCCTATGGCCGTTACACCAACTCTCTCAAAATCCTCGGGCACGTTACTCTCTAATGGGGATCAATATAGACAAGTGGTAGGGGCCTTGCAATATCTAACCATGACACGTCCGGATATAGCCTTCTCTCGTCAACAAACTCTGTCAATTTATGCATTGCCCAACCGATGAACACCGGAAAGGGGTAAAACGCTTACTCGTGTACTTGAAGGATACAGACCTCTAAGGGACTTTTTCTTGCCAAAAATTCCACTATGCAACTTCATTGCTTTAGTGACAGCGATTGGGGTGTCCGCCTGGATGATAGGCGTTCAACAAATGGATATGGCATTTATTTGGGAAAATCTTTGATTTCTTGGATGGCTAAGAAACAACCTACAATTGCCCGATCTTCTACCGAAAGTGAATACAAGGCAATTGCTAACACCACTCGCTGAATTAATGTGGATTACTTCCTTATTGCGAGAACTTGGTTTCTCAAGTCCTACTAAAGTCGTTCTTTGGTGTGACAATATTGGTGCCATCTATCTCACTCGCCAATCCCATCCTTCATGCTAGAACCAAACACATTGAGTTGGACTATCACTTTGTTAGAGAGCAAATAGCATCCGGCAAGCTTGAGGTGCGTTTTATTTCTACCGCTGATCGGATTGGTGATATCTTCACCAAGCCTTTGTCCACTACTCGCTACCTTTTCCTACGTGACAAGCTTCGCCTCATGGAGTGTCCAACGGCTTGTGGGGGGTGTTAACGGATTAGCATTATCACCGTGATTAGCTTAGAAAGCCTTATCATTATCTATATCCAACCGTAAACTTATCCATGTATCCCTTTAGTAGTTATCTCCTATAACCACCAGCTCGTACTCATGATATATATATAAACTCCGTAACTCTTACGATATACATAATAAAAAGAAAAACCTTTACAATCTCCTTGAGTTCTCACAAGAAGATGGGGTTGAAGTTTGAGGAGTTGGGACAGGAATTGAAGCGATGTTCGGTCCAGGAATTGTTGTGAATTTTGGATATTTCAAGGTTTTGGTTGGTGAAAATGTGTGTGGTGATTCTGTGAGTTACTTGGTTTCGACATTGACGAGTTTATTGGAGAGTTTTTGGGAGAAAATTTGGTTGGTGGGAGCTGCAGATAGTTGCGACACATATTTGAAGTTTGTAGGGCGGTTCTCGGGTGTGGAAAAGGCTTGGGATCTTAGGATTATACTTGTTGCTTCTTACAAGAGTCCCATTGGTGGTTTCGGCTTGAAATCGAGGTGAGAAGTATTATCCTGTGGTTGCTCTTGTTTTCTCTTTTTGAATTTGTTCTGTCATAGGCTGAAAAAGTCCCACATAATGCTTTCATTGGATATTTTTTAAATTTTGGATGCAAAATTTTCTTTGCAGGGTGGTGGAGTCTAAGTTATATTTGCATTTCTGATTGTAGCGTACAGGAGGAAGTAGGAAAAGTATATGGCCATAAAGATGGCCTGAGTTTAATTTTCTTGTTGACTTACTTCTGATTGCTTCTATGAACCAGTGTTTGCTGCTGTTTTGGACTCACTGTATTTGCTTTCTAATTCGTTATCTTGAAAACATTACGAGATGCATTTCCAAGCTTTTTCTTTACGCCATAGCAGCAGCAGCAGCAGAAATTCCTCACTAAATGAGAGTCAATGTGCAAATCTTAATCTTGGCGTTTGTGTGAACAAGTAAAAGATCTTTCCTGGGGAATACTGTGTAGTTTCTGAAGCTGAGAATGTTAATCACCAATCTAAGCTGCTGGAAAAAGTTCGAAGACGTCAGCAGAAGGAGAAAGAGAAAGAGCCTCAGATATGGGGTTTGGAGACTAGAAGAATCTCATGCAGTTTAAAACGTTTGAATAGACCATCCACCGAAACAATCCACAGAAAAGGACTAACACAAGATTGAAGAGCAATCAATGCCTTTCACTTTATTTATTTATCTATCCATCTCTCCTTGCTAGCTAGTGTGTTTCTAAGGCGGTCCTGATCGATACATGCCACGACTTGACTGAGCCAAAATATCATGTCTCTAACTAAGTGGTCTGGTGGTCATTTTGTAATACTTTTTGTCAAAAACCTTCTGAATAATTATACATGTATGTACGGAAAAAGAGAATAATTTAGAATTTATTTAGTAAATATGGGTGATTAATCGTTGAGATAATTAACTTTTGATATTTAATTGAATTACTTTTAGAGAAAAAATTATAAAAATTAAAGGTTTAATTATTTAATTTAAATAATTATGAGAATCAAGAGATCATTATTAATTTGAAAATCATTTTAAATGAGGAGTGGATTGTTGGAATTAAAAATGACAAAACCTAATTGGAAGAGTGCGATTGAATTAATAGAAGAGAGAAAGATTTAGGCTGAGGCAGGAGAAGAGTAGGGAAATAGTAGATAGAGATATTGTTTTATTATAGCTTTGCAGTCATATCAGCAATATCATGAACTTTTGACTAAGACCATAACAACTTCTTTGTTATGTTTATGGGAACTACTTGGCTTGAACAATCACAACCACAACCACAACCGTAACTAGCTAAGTGCTGGTGTGCTCATGGAAGAGGGAGTGGCCATGATGCCTTTTTGATCGGTTTTTATCAGTGCCTTAGAGCAATGCCAAGTTTATGATCAGCAGACTTGGGATCTTGTTGAGGAGCAGAATCAGCATTTGTACAACAGCTTTGAACCAATTCATTACAGCATGCACTGTATCCAGACACTCTAAAAGTGGTTCCACGTACAGTAACATCAGTTTTTATAGCAACATCTCTTGCACTGCCGATTTCCACACTCACCGTAATCCCCAAGAAGAGGATGATCAAAACAGCTATTTTATCTGCTCTGAAAGCCATTATCTTTCTGCTTGTGATTATGTAGTGTAATGCTTTGTGTTTTTGCTGTGTTTTCAGGCATACAACTGCCTCTCTATATAATTAATGCACCAAGTAAACGAGTATGAACTGGATCATGCCTTCGAAAATACGTATGCCATTCAAAGGATTCAAAATAATTTCTTATAGAAAAGAATCAACTGGATCCTGCCTTCCAAAATCAGTGAATATCTTTGGGTCTTTGATGACCAGTAACGTTAGTTCTCGCTTTGAGCATCCCTTGCACTGTCAAATTCCATACCTACGTACCATGATCACCTAGAAGAGGATCAAAATAAAAAAAACTACCTAATCGGCCTGGAATACCATGATCATGATCTTTGTATTAGCGTTTTTGCATGTAGGATGCATGCATTTTTTACTTTACGTTTTACAGAAATGGCAATGGATCATATATACCTACTTCGAATAATAGTTGTTCATTGATCGAATATATGCATATCCTTAAAAAAAGTGTTAATGGATATGCCCATAATTCCCTTCTAACATTGCGGGATAAGTTCAAAAGTATTGAAACATTTTTCACTTAAAATATTAGGTGTGATTTTAATTATTTCTCTATATACATGGAAATATCTGTTTGATTTTTGGCTGGTATTAGCTACAATTAAAATAATTTTCTGTAATTAAGGATTGCTTTCTTAAATAATTGATATAGGTTGTATATATATTCAAATTTCTTGATTTTTTTTTATTATGATAAAAAGAAAAAATATATATGTTTCTAGAATAGGCATATATATTACTATTCATTTGTTATTCTTACTTTAATTGTGAGATTTTTATTTTTTCATTGATTTCAAAAAGGTTGAATTATTATAATTTGTTCGTGAGTGCAAACAATCATTTTACCATAGATTTGGAATGGACTATGTTATTCATCTATACTGCAATATTAATTATATTATTGTTTTTGTTTTTGGGTGACTTATAAAAAAATATTTTTAGAATAAAATAATATTAAATTAATTATGTTTAAAGTTGGTAAAAAAAACTAATTAATTAATTTTTTAAAAAGAAAGAAATATTTAATTCATTTTATAAAACTAGAGTGACTAATTTATAATTTAGTCATTAAATTACCAACATTTAAAAAAAAAATGGTCCAAAGACTAATAAATTTGTTTTTAAAACAAGAAAAATTATTTAATTTATTTTATAAAACTACAGGGACTAATTTAAAATTTATTCATTAAATTGCCAACATTTAAAACTGGAAGGAGAAAAGAAAAAATAAAAAACGAAAGCAGAGGAGAAGAAGAGCTTCAACCACCACTCTGGCGATAGTTGAAAGCTTTTACTGTCCTGAACTATGAACTCGGAAAAAATACTAATTATTTTATTTTTTATATTAAAAATAAAATAATAGATATTATGAAAAGAAAAAAAGATATTTTTAAAATAAAATATGATCAACATTAATTAATGAATTAAATAACTAATTTTTAAAATAAAAAATATTAATTAATTTATTTCTCTAAACTAGAGGGATTAATTTATAATTTAGTCCTGAAAATTATATGTCCTGTCTTGACTGTAACTATTGATTTCTTTGACTTTTCAAATGCCATAATATATTACAAATTTTTTTACCAAATTTTATCATTTTTTTGTACTATTTGTTTCTATGGAACATAGAGTTTTTTTTTTTTTTTTTTTTTTAATGTGAGATAAACGTGCATGAATTTAAAATTTTGTGTAAATCACAATAGATTATCGTTTTTATGTATCATCACCATCCTTCTTCTTCTTCTTCTTCTTCTTTTTTTTTTTTTTTTTAACAGCCTCGGATAGTTTTTATTTATGAAAATTTTATTTTCTCAATCTCTTAGTGTTTAAGAAGAGATTATACCCTCTAATTAATTCAGTTCTCTAAAATATAGGGACTATTTAATTTTTTTAAAAAAAACTAGAGGGACCAATTTATAATTTACTCCATTTTAATAATTAAATACTCCAAGAAGACAACATGTGCTCAATAATCAGTTGCTTTTTCTTTTATCATCTATTGGCTTAGACTCTGCAAAAATGATTCAAAGGCTGATATTTATGTTATCATCATTTCTGCTAGAAGCTCAAGTAAGGTCTCACTAGTCACAATATATGGTTTATTGGCTAATAATGAAGAAAAAGTCTCACAAAGATGGAAACCAGTGTTCAATGGTCAAAATAACAGGTAAGTAGCTTCTTTCTTTTCCATACTTTTATCAGCTAGCATAGCATCATCTGAGAAATATCTTGGTTAACTAGCTAGATCTTGCACATAAATTTTAGCTAAATGTTTTTAACCATCTCTACCATAGGTAATTTAGAAGTCAATGGTAAAGCAAATGTTCTTGCTGATAATGATTTATCTAATCCGTGAGAGTGGTTGGTGTTTGTAACTAATTGAATCAATAAGAGAAGAACAAGTTACAAAAGAAGTGAAGGGTTTGGACAAGAAAGAAAGAAAATTTAGGTGAGAAGAGAAAGCAATTAAGATTTAGAGTGAGGCTTATTGACAATATCATGAACTTTTGTCTAGGATCATGACAGTTTCTTTACTATTTTGATGGAAACTACTTCGCTTGAACAATCTGGGAAGATAAACTTGCCACAGGGCATGTCGAAGAGATCAATTTCCGAGCACAGCAAGTCGCAACCAGAAACTAGCTTTATTTTGGTGGGATATAATTAAGAAATGGAGATCAATCATTTCAGTCATAGACATCCACTGAGGCTAATAAAAGCTGCACCTTATCTTTCTGAATGTAATGCTTGCGGACGAGAAATCTGCAGTGGTGAGATGTATGAGTGCGAGTCATGCAGATTCAGGCTCGACAAAGGATGCATAGATTTGCCACAGAAGACTTTAAACCCCTACCATCCACATACTTTACATGGCGAGCCTCATCAAGGGATACAAGTTACATGCACTGTCTGCTGCAAACAAGTTCCACCAGGCTTTTTTTACCGCTGTCAGCCTTGCGATCTCCACTTGGATGTTAAATGTGCTTTCTATAAACTGACCAGGGAAGAACTTCGTCATTTCAGTCACTTCCATCCACTGAAACTCTATGAAGCCCATTCTGGAGTTCAGGCTCAACCTGTTGAATGTGCTTTATGCAACTTTTTTTTAAAGTTCCAACCTACGCTTGTACGCATTGCAATTTCTATATGCATCAGCAATGTTCTATGTTCGAGTTGCCGCAAGAGATCCAACATCCTTGTCACCAATGCTTCCTAACCCTTGGTGTTAAAATTTCTGAGTTTGACTTTTTGGACTTAGAGATTACTTCTGCAGAAATTGCAAGTTCACAGCGAAGCTTAATCTGGCTGTAGAATTCATCAGACTTGAAGGTCTAAAGCAATTCTATCATTTCAGTCACAGGCATGCATTGGAATTGACCGGAAAAGACAATGAGGATGATCAAGTGATCAATTACTTTGCGTGCGAAAAATCTTGCTCAGCTCCCACTTATGGATGTATCGCGTGTCAATATTTTCTCCATCAAGCTTGTATTGATTTGCCTAAGGAGATCCGACACTTCTTTCATCCATGCCCTCTACTCAGGGCTTCTACTTCCATTGTGAATGGTGCAGTTTTAGCATGGATATTGAATGTGCTCTGCTTCCCACCATGAAATCTCAGAGCGATGAAGAGTACTTTTGCCATTTCAGTCATGGGCATCCATTAACACTCACTGAGATAAAAGACGATGATCAGTTTTACTGCTCTGCTTGCAGGAGCTGCTTTTCAGTTTCAGCTGCTGTTTGCAGAAAATGTAGTTTCTTTCTTGAAAAATCATGCTTTGATTTTCCACGAGAAATTCAATATGACTTCCACCCACGCCATCCTCTCATCCTCCAAGCCAAGCCAACAAAATTCAAGTCAGTGTGCGATGTCTGTTGCAAAAATCTTTGTGGGCTTACCTATTGTTGCGAACTGTGTTGCTTTGAAATGCATATGAAATGCAGTCTACCAAAGCTCACCGTCTCTTACGAAGGTCACAACCACCTTCTGCTGTCCCTGGAGAATATTATTACATACACTAAAAGCGGACGAGTTTTCACTGTGGCTAAGTCTTTGCTAGGTGAAACCAAAACAGCCTCATTATGAGTCTTTTATATTCAAACTGGCGCCGTTTTCTCAAAAAAAAAAAAAAAAAAAAAATTATCAATTTATCAGTATTTTATATTTTAGTCTTTGAATTTATTTTTTTTATATATAAAATAGTCCTTAATTTTTATTAATATTACCAAAAGGTCTCTGACGTTTTGTTTTCGGACTGAGTTTTTTTCATTAATTATTATTTAATCAAAATAATATTTTTTTCATAATCAATGGTTACTTTTTCGATTTTTATAAATATTCATGAATTAAAATTAAATATTCTTTTAATATAAATTGATTAAACACCTCCTTCTAATTAAAATTTTTAAAATAATTAATTAATTGTATATATTTTTTATCTATCAAAATAAAAAATATTCCTAAGAAATATGTCAATTCCATTATATATATATATTAAACATTTTTTTTTACAATGAGTATTAATTAATTTTTATTTTTAAATTATTAAAAATATTAAAATATGGATATGATAAAAATTACTTGCGGCAATTCGCAGGCATTGAGCTACTAGATATTGAAGTTAAATGTAACAGCTGTGGCACTATCTGTGACTCGTGTGCGTTCCATTGTATGGAGTGCGATTTCAATCTTCACCTTCTGTGTGGTCCATTACCATGCATCATTATACCTGATTGCCATTATCATCCCCTCTTCCTTATTCTCCTTTAGAAGATGAATCAGAGGAGTCTGTTTGTGATGTCTGTGAGAAGGAAAGAGAGCCACGGTTATGAGTCTGTAATTGCAAAGCTTGCCTCTTTCCTGCCGAAGCTAAATGCATATGTCATATCTGAGGTATGCCAAGTTTTTCTCTCATATTCGAGCATTTCAAACCGAATCATCAATGGATGCTCGTTTTTTATCCTAAAAATTAACTAAGTAATTTAGGTAATTTTATTATGTGTCAATACATGTTGTTTTTCTTAATTTTAGCATTAGTTAAAGTTACACAACAAATTGATTGAATTGAGAATGTGTCTCACCTATCACAAGCTTTTGGATCGTGTTAGAATGGATGTAAGTATTCTAATAAGGCAAGTTTTCAAGATGTTCTAGAAAACTTGGCTTGGTAGGGTCTAGTAAAACGAATCTGTAACCTATCGTAACAAGTTGAAGGAGTGTAGACTAAAAGAGCCTAATTTCTTCTTGTTCTGGCATGGATGACATGACAAAATCCTAATGATCAAAGTTCATCCTTTTTTTCATCATAAATATTAACCTCAAATCATTGTGAGAAGTTTTAACTTTTTTATCTTTAACAAAATCTCTGAATTATCACACACTAGACATCACCTAGCTAGCAGCACCTGCTTCTCCTTCCATGCCTCTCACTGCTTGTATTTATTTTATTTGGTTGGTTGATCGTTGTTTTCATAAATCACAACATTAATTCTTTGTACTTTAACCGAACTGCTGACTAGTTTTTTGATTAGTCCTCAAGAGCCCTCTCACACATCATCAACATGTTTGCATTGAATGGAAAATTTGCTCGGTTGAAAAAAATGTTGAATGTATTCATTTCAACTCGGTTGAAAATTTGCTCCAACTGAATTTTTTTTAAATAGAAATTCTTACAAATGCTGAAAATGATACATATATTTGACATACATGAGATATGTCAGGTTGTGTTTGCATTGAACGGAAACTATGAAGGAGTGGAGTTGAGGACTCTTGATGGACAAATGAGTGGTAAGCTGGTTTTCCAAAGTTTAGAGGTCAAGCCAAAAGAAAAACAAAATAACTGCAATGAAGCTGGGGAAACGGTGATCGAACCTGTTATAAACTTGGATGATGTGCTAGCCTCGTTCAATGAAGATGAGATGATAGAATTGAAGGGTGTTTTAGCTGCGAGCAGAAGGGATGTAAATGTAGCAGAAGAGAACCGTCGCAAAGATAGTGAAGTGTCCCTCTTCTCATGTTCAGATTTGGTAACTGCTTTCAGTGGTTATGAAAATATGGAAACAAATGGCGTTTTGGAAGCTACAGGAAGAGAGATAATTGGGGGCGCCAAGATATCTTCCAAAGATCAGAGAAAAGATGGTGACGAAAAGCTAAAAATTTCCCTGTCCTCGGACAGGGCATATAAACATTTTTTGGAGAGGCTTGATTCTAGCACCGATTTTTCTTCTTTGAAACTCTGGGAAGGAAATGAAGAGGTTGTGAATGTTATGGGTTACTTGATACCTTAGAAATTAGCCCCCATTCTAGATAAACTGAGCGTTAAATATCGAGATGTCAGTGCAGAATCAATGCTAAGTACACGAGTGAAGAACTATTGCATTGTCATGCTACGTGGGACTATGCACAGCATGTGCAACACCAGGATCATAGACATCTCTTCTAATCTACTTCTCAATTGGTGGAACAATTTGAAAACTTTGAAGTTTGCAGGATTCAAAGTTCAGTTGGCCTTTGATCATTTAGATAAAGTTGTGCGCGCTTACTTTGGTCTTCAAGTAGATAAATCAGAAGACGAACTCGATACAAAAATTAAAAGTCTTTCGGCAGCCTTTGAGCAATTAACAGGAGAAATGAAGGCATTAAAGGAGACGCGTGAGTGTGTAGCTTTGGCAAAAGCTTCGAAATCCGACATAATAAAGGACTGCTTGACAGAAGCAGCGACAAAGAAGTGGTGGCCAGCGGTCACCGGTCTACTTTGAGATCAGATCCATCACAGGTTCTGTCTGTCCCTTTGAATACGCTTAAGTTTGCAATATGAGTCGCTGAAAGGTGTAAAAGCTAGTGAGTGAGAGAGAGACAATAACAATTGCATGTGTTTGTTCTCATGTGCATTACATATAACTATTAGAGAATAATATAAATCATATCCTGAGACCTGACTTAACAGCTTAACCTTTTAAGTGAGTTGATCATTTGTCATGGTATCAGAGCCTTGATGTCCAAACAGTCATGATTTCAAATCCTACCACTCCCATTTTCTCTTCGCTTAAGCTTTTAGGAGAGCTGGTCCTTTGATAATAACTAAGTTCTCTGCTAAGAAAGCTTGTCCCCAGTCAACATTTTAGAGGATTCTAAAGTATTCAAACTCGGAGATACAATTGTGGCAACAGGTGGGGTTGAAGGAAATCCTGGTTTAGTACATTGACCAACCGGTCCAAGATTGATAAGTCTGATGATGATTACAAGTTAGTTCCCTGCCCATCAGACATTTGTAGCAGCGGGGTTTTACGTAGGGATATTGGGATTTATATTGAGGATAATGGGATTAGAACACCATCTCTTAGGGATGCATTGCAACCTTTCAATGTTGAGTTCAAGAAGGCTTTGTTTTCTTCTATTTTATCTCTGCAGTTTTCACTTCACTTTTTTCTGGTTTCCGGATGAAAGAAATAGCTTCAAATTTCAACAAGATAGAAGGAAAGAAGAACCTAATTTTAGTAATTCTTTTTAGAAGCAAAATTTTGTGAGAGAAAACTTTCACTTGATTGGCTATGAACTATAATTTGATACATAAAAGCATAATAATCATGTCTACAGCCAGGCCTTTTCTTTTTTGCCTCAATTAAATAGCACACTTGTCTAATCTAAAGATCCACTTCTCTACGTTCTAAACATGATCTATCTTACAAAACGTCCTCATAAATTAAGAGGCAGATTTTGCCAAAGAAATTGCTTTCTGTAGATTCCTGAAAGCTTTTTCATAACGCAAGAACCCCATAAACCAGAATTCAAAATTGTCCCGTGTGAGTATTTCTATGTACTTCTGTTGCGGCTTGTCCATGTTCTCACTTCTGTTGGCTCTAGCAATCTTCCGTACTGGTATCACCACCTGCTCACGCACATCAAAGTATTGGTCAAATTCCTCAACTATACCAATCAAGTCAATTGTTTGATTACGAATTGAAGGTTCAAACTTCAAACAATAAAAGTCAATTATCTACAAATTGCAACATTATTTTCCATGCTGTAGCTTCCTTGACGGTTCAAAATATTTAAAGGAGAGATGTGACTGCTATTTTGGTCATGCCTTGACCACTTGTACGTGTGCTTCAGCAAATACAAAGATTGCATAACAGATGATTGAACATAGGATCAGGAACCCAATTATAGACTCACCTTGTAGGGTTTTCTGACAAATTGTCCATTAGGAGAAGGGAAGGTAATTGATCTTTCACTGCAGAAGGCAACCTTTTCAGTGGAAATAAAAAGAAGTCCTGCAATAGGACCAGCTGTGGTTGATAAATAGCACTGTGATGCCTTTAACAGTTCTTCTCCTTCTCTGACCCCAAATACGTGCTTGAAAATATTCTCCCTACCACCTTCTTGAATTATCTTTGCTCCTAATCTCAGCTTGCCTTTCACTGTTTCAGAGAATTTAGCCCCCAACTTCACTGCAAATTAAATTACTCACATATAATCAAATTGAATTGTAATCATCAATGATTTACTTCAGATTTTGAGTAGGACTTTTACCGTGGTCGCGAATCCTGTACGCAAAACTGCTGCTTTTCCTTCCAAGTGTTTTATTTTTTCCAGTCTTTGAATCCCAATTATTGCCTGCAGTTGATGAAAAACCTATCAATATCGATATATCCTAAGCACACATATCCATAGGCAGAGAAAGATAGGATCAGCGTGACTTACTACTAGTTTTGGAGGAGCTTGGAGAACCCTGAAAGGAAGATGGACTTTGCAACAAGCTGACAGGTTCAGACAAAGAAGAGATTCTTTCTGGGGTTGTTTCAAAAGATTTAATAATCATCAGTGGACTTCCATTGAACTTGTCTGCAAACTGACCCTTCATGTTCAGAAATGATGTCTGAACACGCACAGAGAGTAGTCCTCAGAGAAGAACCTGATCAGCTAAGGTAGCTTTGCCTACAAACTTTGCCTAATGAAAGAGAGAAAGAAGGCAAATGCTATTTAAATCATATAATTCTCTTGGTTATAAGTCCACAAGAGATGGAGATATGAGACTGAAATTTCAAAGATTCTTGGTTGTTACCTGCGACGAATTGAATAAAAGGGAAGACTTCTAGAAGAAAATGATGTTGCAATTTGCTGGCAATTTCATTGGCTAGGAATGTGAGAATATAATTTTTTTTTCCTTACAAGTAGCAATGAAATTTCAAGTCAATAAAGGTGGCCAAATCAGATCCTTGCAAATGAAATTGATTAATATATTTTTTTTAAGGCTAAAATAAACTGATTTGTTAGAGAATAATGAGATTAGAAAAATAGGGTAAATAACAAGTTAATCCCTCTAGTCTCGCAAAACGAATTAAATAATCTTTGTAGTTTCAAAAACTAATTAGTTAATCTTTTTTATAAATTTTATGTTCTTTTTCAATTTTTTTAATATAAAAAAAGAAGTAAATAATGTAGAAAGATTAATGAGAAAATAAAATATTTTTTTAAAAAAATACATTGAGTATAGTCAGATTAAAGAATTAATTGATTAGTTTTTAAGTTATAAGGACTGTGCAATTTATTTTACAAAAATAGAAGGATTAATTTATAATTTAATCTAGGAAGATGTGATGTTGGAGTAGTTGGGAATTTATTTATTTATCAATGAACATAAGAGAGGAATTTAAGTACATGTCACATGATCATGTCAGCGACAGCTTTGAAGCATTGGTCTTGGACATTCCAATTTGATGTGCCACAAAACCTTGATAAGTATGAATAGATTTCCCATAATCAGCTTTTTTTTTTTTTTTTCAGATTCAAAGATTTCATAAAAAAGTGTATTTTCTAAGAACATCAACTTTACACATACTTTAATAAAATCAGACTATATATTATTCTAACAAACATATTAATTAGAACCAATAAATGAATGTTTTGAATATTTTTTTTCATAATACTAATAATAATAATAACAAAAAAAAAAAAAAAACTCATGAGTGTCTTTAAAGTATCCGTTAAGCATTATTTGAATGTATTTGTTATTAGATTTTGTTAAAAATGAATAAAAATATAATATTTGAATGAGAATATGAATATCTGTATTTATAAATCTTGAATATGTGTTATTTTATATGATAATATTTTTAAATGACGAGTGCAAATTATTAAACAAATAAAGAAACTAAAGATTAATTTGAAGCATTAAGTGATTATTAAAAAGTGAATAAAAATATAATATTTGGATGAGAAAATGAATATTGACTATAAACATTAAATAAATGTTATTTTTAAATGGCGAGGACAGATTATATAACAAATAAAGAAACTAAAGATTAATTTGAAGTATTAAATGATTATTAAAAAGTGATTTAAGGATACACTTTAGCCGAATTCATTAAATAATAATTAAAAGCAGAATTATTGGTGCATTATTATTGTTGATTTGGGGATTAAAAACAATTAATTTAGGGATATGCTTATGTGTGAAAAAATTCTATCTTAATTTATTTATAACATGAAATGACTTCAGGTTCCACCTCAAGTTTTTGGAGTAGATATGATCAAATTGTCTTAACATGCTACCATCAGCATCATTACTTGTTCCTAATATTCTAACACTTGAGGATCAAGAAAATAAAATAATAAAATAAAATTTTGATTGGTTTCAATTAAAGAAACCTCATAATGGGAATTGAGAAAGGTTCTAAGCCCATAATTTTGACAGGGCCCAAATCAGTGAGGCCTGGGCTCGAGGTATGGGCTAATTTTTGGAATCACAATATGGGTCTGACCGTAATCTTTCTGCTATTTTGCAGTGATTACTGTTGTAATTTAGAATTTTGCATTTGCTTTCTTTCCTATAAATATAAGGCCAAATAGATACTTCTCTTTTGAAATATTCAATATGCCTTTCTAATCAATTTTTCCAATCATATATTATTATTTTTTTAACCAAAATATCCTAATTAAAATGTAAAATAATAAAAATAAAATAAAATAAAATTCTAAAGATTTCAAAAATATAACATAAAAATCATGTAACTTTAAGTTTTTTTTTTTAGTAAAGGTATTCGATAAAAGAAAAATTGTTCATAATCGGAATGACAGATTGAATATTTCAAATTTTTTAAAAAATAGATGAAATGCAATTAAAAATCTAAACACAAATGTAAAACTTTAAGTATTATATAAAATATATTGATCTATTTATCTTAAATATAACTTATCTCTCAAAAACCATTTTTTGGTATTCCAATTGTTTTCTAACTTATTAATCTTGATTCCTCATTTTATTGGTTTTTTTTTTTTTTTTTTTGTCGTCTTTTGTCTTAAGCCATATTCTTGCTTAAACAATTGATCCAATATTAAAGTTTTGCTGCTTTTATATATATATACATATATATTCTGCATTTTTTATTGAAAATTTTTTTTATTGAATTAAGAATTTTTATTTTTCGAGATATTTTATTTCGGACTCTTTATTATAATATTATCAATCAATAAACAATAAATAACATTATACATTAAGAAATCTCGAAGAATAAAAATGACATGTTGATCAGTAATTGATGGTATTAGAACAAAAGATTTGAAGTAAGAAATTTCAAAAAACAAAAGTCTCAATAAAGTTCTTTTAAAAAATAGAGAATCTCAAAAAAAATAATAAAAAAAAAAAAAATACAGAATTCAAATGATGTACTTGTCTCGTAAACAGGTAGAAACAAATTATGTGCTTTAATTTCTAACATAAAACCAAATTCGTAGTTTTATTTCTAACATCACAAACTTTTATCTTCCTACTCAACATTGAGCCTCTCTCAATGTATCTCCATATGGCATAGAGGTGCCCGAGATAGGCCAATAATGGTGGCCTTGGATACTCTTCACATGTGAAAGATTTTGGTATAAAATGAGAAAAGATGTGCAAATAGACAAAAAGATTTTGCCAATAGCCTCTCCCTTCTGATAAAAGAAACAACTATAATCATAGGTTTAAAATAAAAAGGAAAACAAGAACTTCTTATTTTCAAGTTTCAATACTAATTAATCATTTCAATAAGGAGGACAACTTTTAGTCTTATTCAGAAGAGGAATTGTGCCAATACTAAGTGGCTTGAAAGATTAGCCCAAGAAAGATGAACCTAGCTAGCTAGGCCATGGACCAAGTAACAGGCACAATACCCAAATCCTTGTTCAAACCCAAAGCTTCCCACACAGCATCAGACCCATCAACGATATTGTTCTCACATGGTGGTAGAAATCCATGCTCCCTGTCACATCCATGCAAAGTATCACATTCATCCACAACCTTAGCCGTCACACTCCTTCCATTACTAGCAGTGATCTTGATCATTTTCCCACATCTTGACCGTCCATCGAACCATCCGGTTGATAGTGCAACCACTCTCTCACTTTTAGCATGGTACTTCTCATCACACTCTGACGGGTCTCCTCCTTCGCCACCTTCACTAAAATCGTTCAAAGTTAATTGGGCTTTCGTAGAGGATGTCACCGGAGGTGAGCATTTGTATTTAGTTGGGAAGGACTTTTCTTTGCATGAACGTTCGCCAGAAAGAGGGCAATTGCCTGAAGGTGGTGGAGTTGAAGGGGTGGTGCCTCCTCCTTTACAGATGTGGGTGCCAACATCAGGATCATCATTGCATTTGCCATTGATACAAATAAGCTGGCCATCGCAATCATTCAGGGTTTTACAAGGGCCATTGCAAGAGGAAATTGCATTTGAAGGGACTGTAAGAAGAAAGGACACACAAACTAACAGAAGTATTTTTTCCATTCTTTACTTTTCTTTGATGCTAGCTAGCTATATGTGTTTGGGATGGTCAGAGATACAACATTTAGATGAACAACAAGTATATATAAGCTTGAGGTTTACGAGTTCTATCTATCGAAGAAGCTTTCGTATTCAATTTCACTGTTATCTGATCATCAGATCACATCCTCCCAAACAGTGAAGAAATCAGTCCAATTAAGTGGCTTCTGGCAAGGGACGACTTTCGGTTTCTATCATCTAATGAGAGGATAGGATAATGCATGTGCAAATCAGTTGTCGGCTTTTGCTTGCCCAACACATGCATGTGTCTTTTCTCAAGGCTTTGACCAATATCTTGTCTTTGTTCGATTTTTTGGTTAAGGTTTTTGCTGGTAAGAAAACTGTGAAAATTTAAACTAATTTGCTCCAGGTATGTCAGGAAAAAATTTGACTACATCGGAGCATTTTCTTTGTTATCAATTTTTTTTTCTTTTTATTGAGAAAAATGTTTTATCAATAAACAAAGTTTGAATTTTGAAATTATATTTATTAAAAAAAATTAAATCTTATTAGGATTTGTTATCAACTTTAAACTGTGAAAAGTACACTAATTTGGTTTTGGCATCGAAATAACAACAACTTTCCCAAAAAAAAAAAAAAAAAACTTTTTAAGATGCACAGTTATCGTTCACTCGCATAAACAAAGTTTTTGGCTCTAGCAAGAAAAATAAAAGTATTCCTGAAAAAAAAGTGTCATGAACTCATGATATTAATGCCCATTAATTTTTTTATGATAAGCCACCAAAAAATTGTTGCAGTAATTAAAGATGAGATGAGTAAACTAGCCAGGAAAAGTTTTTGTAGCAAACGTGAACGATTTGTGCAATAAATTTACAAGACAAGAGGGAACTAAGGGCACATCCATTCATCCACTACTACTTATGGTTATCCACAAAATCATTGAACCTGTATATACCTATTTTTATGTGTTTTCACATCAAACTTTAAAGATTTCAAACTCAATAATTCAGTTACGTGCGGTGTGGAACTAAGTAAATACACACAAACTTGGTAGCATGCATGCATGATAGCTGGGTACCCGAAGAAACTTTGAAAATTCTTATCAAACACGTTCTTGCCTTCATATTGATCAGATATCTCTTTCCTCTCTTTATTTCTTCTTTTTTCTTTCCCCTTAAAGAAAGGGGGCCGAAATTGGATGGAAAATTAACGGGCCAAATCAGTGAAATGATGGGCTCAAGCAAACACTAATCTTAGTGGTCATAAAAAAGTTAAGAGGAAGAAAAAAAAAACCCAAAGAAGAATTCAATAATTCTGGAAGGTATTATCAATTACATTTTTTTTTTTTTTTGAATGAAAAAAATTAGACTAGTTCTCGATTTATGTGTGTCATCTTTGTATAGGGCCATGTTAATTTTCTTTCTATCGTTGTAATTTTATTGGATGTCCCCTAATAGACACCTTATAATTATGCTAAAGGACCCTTGTAAAAAACTATTTAATGCTTCGAATCAGTTTGCACTTTTCTTTTTATTTACACTTTTTGTTCTAAAAAGAGTGTTCTATTTAACTTTTCACATATATTAGTAGTTTTTGTTCATTTTTTTAATTTTTTTTAATATTTAGTTATCACATTTAATCTTTCATTACATAAAATTAATATTAATTTAAAAGAAAATCTATCTGAAATTAAAGTGATACATTAAAAAAAAGGATTAAGGTAATTAAAAATCAGGTTTTAAATAATTACAGAAAAATATCATACTAATAGAAATATTTTACTTTCAAAATTTTGGCATCTAGTAAAATCCCTATAAAAAGGAATGTTTTTCATATAATAAAAATTATTTCTAATTTTGTATTAAAGGTATTTGTATGTATAAGAATAAATAAAAAGAATATTGATTTTTATTAGTGAAGACCATGAAATGAAAGAAATAATTGATTTTCTTTATCAATTATAAGTATTTTTTTTAAAAAAAAATACATTATTTAAAGTTTTGACCACACAAGTATTTTGAGAAAGATATAAATAAAAAGAAAAATAATTTTTTTTTAAAAAAAAGAAGGAGTATCAATTAAGAGTATTTAAAGAAGGTACAATCTCTTTGGGATCGATATAAATAGAAAAATATCATTGATTTAATATCTATAATCAATGCTGTTTATTTTTATTCTACTATTATATTTACATATATATTTTTTACAATCCTACATGAAATAAAGTACAATAAATGCAATCTTTAGTGAAATTTCAAAAACTCATTTACATGATGTATGGTTCAAACCCTATATATAGAGAGACAATGAGTGTGCATGAAAACATAAGGAAAACACAAAGAATTACAAATACATAATCACAAAGAGAAAAATGGTGGCTTCAAGAGCAGATAAAATAGCTATTTTGATCCTCTTCTGCTCAGTGATTGCGATGAGTATGGAAATTGAAGGTGCAAGAGATATTCCCGAAACAACTAGAGTTACTACTAGTCATGGAACTCCTTTTAGGCTCAAGCAAACTCTAATCTTAGTGGCCATAAAATATTTTACTTCAAAATTTTGGCATCTAGTAAAATCCCTATAAAAATGAATACTTTTCATTTAATAAAAGGTGTTTCTAATTTTATATTAAAGGTATTTTTATTTATAAGAAAAAATAAAAAGAATGTTGATTTTTGTTAGTGAAGACCATGAAATGAAAGAAATAATTGATTTTCTTTATCAATTATAAGTATTTTTTAAAAAATACATTATTTAAAGTTTTGACCACACAAGTATTTTGAGAAAGATATAAATAAAAAGAAAAATAATTTTTTTTTTAAAAAAAGAAGGAGTATCAATTAAGAGTATTTAAAGAAGGTACAATCTCTTTGGGATCGATATAAATAGAAAAATATCATTGATTTAATATCTATAATCAATGCTGTTTATTTTTATTCTACTATTATATTTACATATATATTTTTTACAATCCTACATTAAATAAAGTACAATAAATGCAATCTTTAGTGAAATTTCAAAAACTCATTTACATGATGTATGGTTCAAACCCTATATAGAGAGAGACAATGAGTGTGCATGAAAACATAAGGAAAACACAAAGAATTACAAATACATAATCACAAAGAGAAAAATGGTGGCTTCAAGAGCAGATAAAATAGCTATTTTGATCCTCTTCTGCTCAGTGATTGTGATGAGTGTGGAAATTGAAGGTGCAAGAGATATTCCCGAAACAACTAGAGTTACTACTAGTCATGGAACTCCTTTTAGAATGCATGGATTCACTATATGCTGTAATTCATTTGTTCCTTACTGTTGTAAAAATGGTGATCAACGAAACACCAAGTCTCGTGGACTTGACAGTGCTTCGATAAATTGATGTTACTCGTCGAGCAACTTGTAGAAATAATGCTCATTATCTATGAGCACAATAAATGCATTCTGTATTTGCTCCCTTTGATGTTAATTTTCTGTTCTATCAACTAAATAATTGTTTTTTCTCAAACAATTTTTCTTTTCCTTTTCATTTGGAGTTCTTCTCCAACATTGGGTTATGCTGTATGGAAGGCTGGAAGCACACGTGACCTGTTGTCCTGTGCCCTAAAAATGAATGAGTAAAATCACATATGGGCTATTGGAATTATCACAAATTCCATAGAATTTTATCAATATAATGGACAACCCATGATGCACAGGCTTTTAAGCCCATTATAGAGAAGCGGTATCCATTTTAGAAAAGGATGAAACCAATGGTGCAAAGGCTTTTTTAAACCCATCAAACGAAAGACTTAACCCAACTATAGATAGCAAAGGCCTCTGATCTCAAATTTCTGCTTGAAAATATTTTTCTTCCTATGTTCTTTAATTTTCTTTACCTCAAATAGTCAAATTTCAGCGAGTCGGAGAGGCCAACCAACCTCCTTGCAATCAACATATGAATAATCATATATTTTTTTCAGAAGTCATTTATTTATTAAGAGAAACAAGTTCACGTTTTCTTTGTATTATATTTTTTTCTTATTGTTTTTCTTTTCCATCTCAAATTATTTGATTTATCGAATATAGCGTTAATAATAAGAAAAGATAAAACATTAAATATACGATCAAACTAGTGGAATAATATCAAATTTATACTCAATTTTTTTATATAATTTTTTTTATATAAAAAAACGTCATGACTGACAAGCATTATTTGCAATTTCTATAGGTTTTTAGTACCTAGAACTTCAAAGCAACAATTTATCTTAAAATATATTAACATTGTTTTTATTTTATTCTTATTGATAAATTTGAAATATTAAATCAACATTTCATTAAATATATATTAAAAAAATCATTTTTATATTTATATAAGCTCAATTTGTACATAAAAAATAATCAACAGTTGGTGTGGTGGTTGAGGTTTATTCATTTTCTCAAATTTTAGGGTCAGCACTCAAATTATTGTATTGAATTCTTTTAAGTGCAACCCGTTTGATTGAAGGAGAGATGCATCCTTAAGAATAACTAATGAAAATGAATTTGAAATAGCTGTTAAGAACCCTGCTATCTTTGCTCAAGTGACCAAACCTTATTACACATTTCTTTGAAAAACAATATAAATTTATTTTTAAAGTCTCATCGAACAATTTAAAACTTTTTATTAAGATAATTTTTAATATAATATAAAAGTCTTGATGATTAGATTATTACAAATTCAAATTTTTCTATTTTTTTATTAAAATTAATTAATTAAACATAAAGTAGTGATAAATCTGTATAAATTTTAAATTCAAAAATAAAAATCAGAATTTAAAATATGTTAAAAAGTAATATAAACAGCATAAAAACTATTCTATTCAGCGCAGGTTGTTATGCAAAGCATAGATCGGAAATTATAAATGGCATTCCGCAATTTTCAGGGGTTCTTTCTGCCATTTGGCATAATATTTGGATACGTTAGAATTTCTTTTTTCCCCCATCAGGTTTGGGAATTCTATACTAATAAAAAAATATATCATTTTTTATATTTAAAATTAACATTTGATAGTTAATATCTAATGAAAAATAAATATTAAGTCTATATAAATGTGGAATTTTACCTATCATGCAAATTTAAATATAAATATCTAAATATAAATTCAATAATAATTTAATTTAAAATATTTTTTTCAATATATATATATATATATATATATATATATATATATGATGAAAGACATGCAAAAACAATATATAAAAATATATTTAATCGGATTTGGGTTTCCCAAGAGATGATAATTTTGCTATCTCTTAATTCAGTACGCTTTTGCTTTTAGATATTGCTGTCCTTACATCATTGAAAATAGGCATTCCTTTCAACATGATATTATCTTTACCAAAAAAGGAAAAAAAAAAAACAGTTACTGAAAAAAACTAATAATAATAAATGGAGATATAGACTTAAAATCGAAAGTTTCTCAAAATAATTATATATCACCGCAACAAAATCTTACCAAATCTTTTTCAAAATAATTAATGGAAATATAAATCTATTGTAAAGGAAAACTACATAAAATCATAGATTGAGATCCTCTCATGTTTCCTTACGAGTACCATTAAATTTAAACAATTGAATTCAAATTAAATGGTCATAATTTAGTATGTGACAAAAATAGAAACAACTAAACATTTTAAAGTTCATTTAATCTTATTGGATTCGTTGAATCCGATTTATGGTTTTATGCTATTTTTATTTCATTGTTTGTAGAGGAAAACCCTATATATAGAGAGACAGTGAGCATGCATGAAATCCAAAGAAAACGAAAGAACACAAAGCGTATAATTCCAAACAGAAAGATGGTGGCTTTGAGAGCAGATAGGTTGACAATTTTGATCCTCCTTTTCTTGGTGATTATGGTGAGTGTGGAAATTGGCAATGCAAGGAATGTTCCTGAAACAACTAGTGTTATTGGTGATGGAACCGCTTTTGAAGGTCTTAAGATTAAGAAATGTTGTAATGAATATATTCAACTTTGTTGTAGTAGTGCAGATTCTGCTGCTCAACATGATACCAAGTCTTCTCATGAGCTTGAGAGTGCTACAAAAGGCTGATGTTGCTCGTCAAGGAACTTGTAGAAATAACCAAATAATGCTCCTCATCCATGTATGAGCACGCCAGCAATTAGCTGTTTGCCGTTTTGGTGTCAAAATAAATAATTTATCTAGTTTTAAGAGATGCACACCGTCTGATATTCTTCTGAATGATTTCTCTCTTTTAAATTTTAGTGTGTTTTGATTATACCAAAACAACTTTCAAATCTGAGGATAGAAAACAAATCCATGCCAATTCACGAATTCCTTCATTGCAGCCTCTAAGAAGTACTGTGAAATCTTGCCAAAAAAAAGCCATGAAAAACGAAAAAAGAACGACTTGGATAGAAATTTTCCTTAGTTTTGTCCCATCTTACTATGATCAAAAGGCTTGCATTCTTCATTTTTCGCCTCATGTTTCTTGGTCAGATTCAAATCTGAGGATAGAAAATAAATCCATGCCAATTCACGAATTCCTTCATTGCAGCCTCTAAGAAGTACTGTGAAATCTTGCCAAAAAAAAAAAACATCAAAAACGAAAAAAGAACGACTTCTATAGAAATTTTCCTTAGTTTTGTCCCAATCTTACTATGATCAAAAGGCTTGCATTCTTGATTTTTTACCTCATTTTTCTTGGTCAGATTCATTAATTTCGAGAATGTGATGTGCAAATAGAGAAATATGAAAGGATATATATTTTTATTTTCATTTAAAAGAATCAAAATACATAAAATACAAAAAATACAAAAAAAAAAAAATAGGGGGGCATGATTGAATAAAATCAAAATTGAAATTAAAACAATTTAGGATACAATTGAAAGAATTGAAAGCCCTAGGACTGAAATTACCAGATACATGGATCCAATTGAAAAACTTGAAAGAACTAGAGACCTAATTGCATAACTAAAGGATATAATCTCGAACAATTGAAACAAGCGGGCACTAAACTAAAATTAGGGAGCAAAAGACAAGATCAACTTCTAGCGAACAACTTGTTGTTTGCCACAACCCTAAATCAATTCACCGAGTCTTGCTTCAACGTCTTCCTTGAAGAGAAATTTCTCCCATTTGTTTATTTTGATTATGTGAATCTTGGCTAGCAATTATACTAGTCAAGAATCACGCTTCAACAATCTGCAAAGCAATTGCATAATATCCGCACCGCATTTGCACTAGACCTACATACACATTGCATAATTCTCATTTTGGCTCTATACAAAACATACGAAATGCGGGAGCCTAGGGGTTTTGATGTCTAACGAGAATGGTTCGATCAATTGAGGAGATGATCCTAAGGTTGAGGGGAGTTTGGTTTTGGCTATAAATAAGAGATGAATCTCTAGTTTGAAGGAAGGGGAAAAGAAAAAAATTTAGAGGGTATTGAGTTTAGGGGATTGGACGGAGGAGGAGAGATGATTCGGAGGATTTTGGAAAGGAACGATTTAGGGTTCCTATTAGGTTTTGAGGCGAGAGAGGGACTTGGGGTTTGATTTTGCTCTATGTTCATAGAACAAATTCTATATATATAAATAAGAAAGATTTAGAAAAATTTTTAGGAATATTGACTTTACGGGATTAGAAGGAAGACTTTCTAGGTTTGGTGTTTTTTTTTTTTTTGGTTTTCTAAAAGAGAGGAATTAAGGTTTTGGACAAATGAGAGTTTTCCGGATTTTGTGGGTTTCAAAAATCTACAAACTACCGAACTGCAAGTTTGATATCGATTTCTTGAAAGAGCAATTCTCACCGATCAAAGTAAATGGCAATCTATTGCAAATCATTCACCTTCAAGCTAGGCTTCATCAATCAAACACCCAAGAATGATTCTCACGATCAAAGCAAAGGGCAATCTACCGCAAACCGTTCACCTTCAAGCTAGGCTCCATCAATCGGACACCCATGTAGGATTCCATATTTCCTTCATTGATTTGCATCCCTAATCGCCTTGATTTAGATGTGAATTTGTTCAAAAATGAATGATAACTCGTCATCATACAACCACCCATTGCCATATTTCTCTTTGCCCAATGACCCAAAAAAAGTGCCTAACACCCCTATTTTTTAAAAAAAACAATGAACAAAAACAAATGCTTGGAAAAAGCTAAAAAGAAAAAAAATTCCACAAAAAAAGGAAAAAAAGAGAGAAGAAATGCCATAAAAAAAGAGAAAAAATGCTAGGAAAAAGAAGAAAAGAAAAAATAAATGCTAGGAAAAAATTACCGAAAAGAAATATATCTAAAAAAAAATAATAACAAAAAATGATTAAAAAAAAGAGAGGAAAAGGCAAAAATATAAAAAACACTAGGTGAAAAATTAACAAAGTTTCTTATCTAATAAGGACTGATATTATCCTAAATCAATCATATTTTAGTAATTAGATTGTTCTACGACATATCAATTATGTCGAGATCTAAACTAGATTCGCTATTGAATTGACGAGACGTTCGATAGAAGGGTTTGATGATTGGTTCTACATGGTGCCACAAATAAAAATAAAAAACTTAGTTTGACATATAAATAAAACTTGAAATTTTGAATAGAATTAAGCTTGGTGAAAATAGAAAATTTTAGGAAGTAAATTTTTAGACTCGAGTAGACGTGATACCTTTCTTAGAAAAAGATGCCTTTAGATGATTGGTATTTTCCTAAAGACATAACCAATTTTTTATCCGAGAATCTCTAAATGAGTGTCCATTTTAAGTTTCAAATTCTTTTTTTGAATATATGAGAATGCATGCTACTATGCAAGTATGTTTTTAGTTACAAAGGCTTATATTTGTTATGTTACGTAAGCTATACTTATATAGGCAAGCTAAAAGTAAGATAACTATTAACATAAGTATTAACTAAATATTAGATACACGATTAGAATGAGTATGGATAAGTGGTACTTATCCTAAACCCCCCTAAGCCCTTGGGTGAGAGATAATAGCCATAACTTGTCCCTAAGAAACTAAAACCGATGAATAGAAAGCGGTTTGGTCATTATGTCGACTATTTGGTAATCACTTGGAAATGAAACCAATTTGAATTACTCTTGAGGTAACCAGTTCATGCATAAAATGATAGTCTAGCTCAAGGTGCTTGGTGCGGGCATGAAAAACTGGATTGGCTGAAAGATATAGGGCTCTAATATTGTTAAATCGTAATTTTGCTTGGTTGGGAAGATGAGATGCCAAGTTTAGCTAAAAGGGAATGAATCCATACTATCTTTATAACGAGTGTTGGCTAATGCTTTATACTTACTTTTAGTGAAAGACCCAACTATGGTAGGTTGTTTATTAGTATCAATGTGATGACATTCTTCCCAAGATAGATTGCATAGCTATTTATACATTGGCGATCATTAGGGCGACCAACATAGTCACTATCCGAGTAGCAATGTAAGTGCATAGGTGAGTCCTTAGCAAGGAGAAGGCCATGTGTTGTAGTAGCCTATAAGTAGCGAAGAACACATTTTAAGGATGTCTAATGAGCATCGGTTGGAGAGTGCATAAACCGGCAAAGTTTGTTGACGAGTGTAAAAGAGATCGGGCTCGGTCATTGTTAGGCATTTAAGTCCACCAACAAGTCGCCTATATGCTTCCCTATTTGACAATGCGGTACTACGATGTTTAGATAGAGGTGAGTTATAGCTATAGGCATCGGACACCCTTTTAAAGCATCCATTCTAGATTTGCGGAGAAGGTCCGTAATATATTTTTGTTGTGATAAAAGTATGCTATTGGATAAGGGAAGCACCTCAATTCCTAAGAAGTAGTGAAGATGTCCTAGGTTTCGATTGGAAATTCAAGCTGGAGTTTGTTAATGAACTCGCAACCGAGTGGAGCTTGAACCCATGATAGTCAAATCATCAATATATATAAAGATAAAGATACTCGTTAGTCCTTGTAATGAAGGTGAATAAAGATGTATCAACCTTTGATGTATGAAAGCCATTGCTTAAGAGAAAGGAAATGAGGTGACCGAACTAGGCTCGTGGAGCTTGTTTCAAGCCATAAAGAGACTTGTTTAGGGGACACATATAATCATGATGATCCTTATCAATATGTCCTTGTGGTTGATCCATGAAAACTTCCTCGTCAAAGATACTATGGAGAAACGCATTGAATATGTCCAATCGCTGCAAGGACCAATCATTTGTAACGAGCAAGAGAAATGATGGTTGCCTTTTCCTCAAAACAATAAACTAAACACATGGAGGTACTTGGATTTTATGGCCATCCCGAGTAATCAATAAGCCATTATCCTCTCGGTCTTTACTACATACACGGATGTTATGATAGGTAAAAATGCAATGAATCTCCGTACATATATGTAATCATCTCAACTATACATATAAGTACTCGTCGATGCATTTTGCTTTAAAACCAAAATCTTATGTACTTTCTAATTAATTTGGTTTTGTAGGTGTGCGTACACATCCGAGACGGAGAAGAAGCAAGTTAAGGTCGGTTGTTTTTGCCCCAAATTTGAGGATGCTCGTTGTTGGGGTTGAACCAAAGCTCGTTAGATCCCTCTAGTATGCATCAACAATTTTACATTAGATTAGAAATGAGTTCTCGGTTAGGCAAATGCAGATTTAGAGTTGAGTTTTTAGCCTCGGATGGGGTTGTTCCTTACGGATTGAGAGGCCTAAAGAGTGTATGGTCTCGGTTAGACTCGGTTGATTACTTGTTTAGATGATGTTTCGGCCTTAACCATTCCCTATGAGAATGTCTTCTAGAATTCAATTTTCCTTTGTCTTGAGAGAGTTCGATTCCGGTGTAGTTGGTGAATGGTATTGCCCTTCTTTGTTCGTGAGAGAAAAATACTCAAACAATCTATCAATGTTCTACAAAATGACACTCGGACAAAAATGGGTTAGGATTTTCTCTTGCAATAGAGATGATGTTACGGGAGATTACGTTTCGAGTGGATGTAAATGTCGAAACGAAGTGGTTAACCTTGTTGGGATGGGAACTCACTATCACAAAATTTGGGTGGACAATCGGACAAAATCGTTTAAGGGATAAAACATCGAT